TGCATATGATATTGCCATTTGCCTCCCTAGCAGAAGAGCAAACTCCGGACATCTCAAGGCCATCAGTTTTAAGAGATGAGTCAGTGGAGCAAATAGACAGTTCCAGAGAGTGTGAGGATTTCTGTGAATGGCTGTCTAGAGCAGCCCCCCTCCCCAGAGATTGTTATTTCACAGATCTGCTCACCCCAGGTGGAGAATCACTTGGGTTCTCAAGTATTTTTGTCTTCGGACCAGCAGCATCAACATCTCCTGGTAATTCATTAAAGATGCAAATTTTCAGGCCTCCTGAATCAGAAAGGCTGGTGAAGCAGAGGACAGGCAGTGGTATGTTTTAGGAGGCCTTGCAGGTGACTCTGATGTACACGCAGATGGAGACCTAGTGAGCTAAAGAAATGCAGATTGGTCCTCTGTCCAGGCAATCTCTCTGACCCTGTTTCCCCCACCAAACCTCTATGCTATTCTTTGCAGCTCCGTTAGTCTCTTCTGAACTTACTCTGTTAATCAACTTCTTTTTCTTCTTCTTGTTTTTTTTCCATACCTGTATGTTCAGGGCCCGGAGGAGGCCAAACTCACTCAAGCCCAGCTCAACAGGTGTCCATGTGGGAATCAGTTTCATCACAGGAATTACATAGGATATTTAAGAGTATATGGAGTGGATCCTGGAACCTTTGAGGAGTCGGGAGTCTTAAACCAGAGCCTGGTAACAGACAATAGACTGCTCATCTATGTGCTTCAGATCAGGGGAGTGACGGGATTTCTATGGGGACCGTGGGCAGAGCAACCCTGGGAAGCTTCGTGGAGCAGGGCAAACTTGAACTGAGTCCTGACATGTGAATAGAATTTGGACCGTTGGGAGGACAGGGCGGATATTAAGAGCAAAGACGCTCTTTATGAGCACCAGTGCAGACATGGGCCCGCTGGGAGGACCGGACCCGGAACAGAGGCATACTGACCCTCTCCATTAAGCGCTGTGAAATGTCTGGTGTCTCACTGACATCCCACAACACAAGTCAAAGAGGCAAATTTTCATTTTTTTTATTGCAAACTCGTGTTCTGGCAAATTAGCCTTGGATGGTTAGCTGAGCTGGCATGTAAGAGGCAGCTGTGACAGCAGAAATAGAAGCAGTCAGAGACTTCCCTAGTGGTCCAGTGGTTAAGACTTCACCTTCCGCTGCAGGGAGTTCGAGTTCAATCCCTGGTCAGGGAGCTAAAATCCCACATGCCTCACACCTGAAAAACCAAAACCCAAAACTGAAGCAATACTCACAAATTCAATAAGGACTTTAAGATTGATCTACATTAAAAAGCATTTTAAAAAAATAGGAGAGGTCAGCAATCAAGCTGAAGCTGGCTTAGAGCCATTTCCTAGATGTGAGACTCAGCCTCTCTGAGCTTTAGTTTCCTTTTCTATACAGTAGGGATAATGCATTCTCCCCAAGCTATTTTAAACATTTAAGTAAACTCACAAATGTGAGATAACAAACACTGCACTTGGATAGCCCCAGGTGGTCCCATGTATGTTATGGTCCCTCTTGTCCTCCGTTGACGTACATGGGATCAGTCATTGGACTGGATAAGAAGAGACGCAGTAGTGGTTAAGAGTGAAAACTGTGATGCTGGAAAGACTAAGGGCAAGAGGAGACGGGGGTGACAGATGGTTGGATGGCATCACCTACTCAATGGACCTGAGTTTTAGCAAACTCCAGGAGATGGTGAAGGACAAGGAAACCTGGCGTGGACATGACTCAGTGACTGAACAATAGCAATAAATCTCAGACTTTCCACTAAAGGACTGTCATCTTGACCACATAACGTAACTTCACAAAACGCCAGATCTGTCTTTTGTCATAATCTGGAATAATGATGTTACATACCTTCTGGGATGATCAGGATGATTTAACAAGTAAAATGGCCAGCACAGTGCCTGGAGCATAGGAAGACCTAGTGATGGTTGGCAATTATCAAGGAGGGAGGCTATCCGTTCATGCAGCAGGGCGTCAGTGCAGACTAATGGTCCCGCAGCGGTTGTGTGCCTCTCTAGAAGGAAGTGATGCTGGTCAGCAAGCAGGTCACCTTGCTATCCTCTGCTTCTTTGGCCAGTTCCAAAGACCCCAGTGATCATACCTCCCATTAGTGGCTCTGCTTTCATTTTTCAGAAGAGCAATCAACAATTGTATTAACTTAAGATATGCTGTTCATGATACATAATGGCTGCCCCGGGAATATCTTTTTCAGTGAAATGAATACTTGCAGAGAGCCCAGACCTGTCCCCAATAATACTCAGGTACATGAAAAATGAACAGAAATCGAAATACAAATGTTCTCATCTCCAGGGTCCTCACTCTCTCCATCTGCACCCAAACCCCCCTACATCTCCCATCCCTGTTTCCGTCAGATCCGAATGGAAAAATCCAATCCAGGCTAACGTTCTACAGCTGATTTACAAATCCCTTAAAAGTGCCAGATTTAGCTCGCTGTTGTTCCTTGTACACCATAAAAATAAATGCATTGAGAAGCCTTTGGGGTCCTTGTTCTGCTGAAGCACTTCGTTTCCATGCTTTTTTTTTTGTGCTTCTCATTTTACTTCTTATTACTTCTCATGAAGCTGCTACTCTGGGGACAACCGCACACCCGCCCACTGGAAATCCCTGTTATTGATCATGTACTTACATGGTTGGCAGCCTTTTATGTAAGAGGAATAAATGATATAGTTGTTTCTACCCATTAAACTATACTGTTATCAAGGGATTGAGAAACTGCCCTGAACATGGCCATTCTTTTCGGAGGCTCTGTAATGTTTACATATAATTGCCTAGTAATCTTGTATTTACTATGCGGTGGCAAAGTAGAGCTGGCGTTGTGTTTGCACGTTATAAAACATAAGGCTCTGGGGCAAGTTTAATTCTCTGTGGTCGTCGTCCTCCTCCTGGCCTTTTGCTTTTCCTGGGATGTTCCACCCCCAGGCATTTGGATATGTGGCTTCTAGAGCCTTCCCAAGTGCAATAGTCTTTTTCCACATGAACGCATCCTTGGAGATCGGTCCCTTCCTACTTTGCATGACGTGGGGCTTCCCAGGCCCCGGCCACGTGGGGAGGAGAGCTGGGCTGTCGGAGGCAGGCAGGACTCCGCATGGCTAGTAGAGCTCTGAGAGCCAGGGCGACGTGCCTCGTGAGTGAGCACCCCAGCCTGGAGGATGCTTAATTATAGTCAAGGGAGGCTATGCCTCCCTCAGCAGCAGCTGCCACTGCCCACGTGTGTACACACACGCGTACATCCATGTGCACACATGCAAGCACACGCCACCCTTACTTGGATGTTTTTGGAAGTCCATTTGTTCCTCCCATCCCTTCCCCTTAAGGCCCCTAGCCATGAGAACTGTAAACCCTAGCCTTTAAGTCATTGGAGGAGAAAGCCTTGATACTTTCAAAGACCAAATATACCCAAATGGTTCAGATAAAATAATGGAGTGCTTGCTAAACATGAGGCAAGGAGCTGTTTCTTACTCGGGTATGTTAGATAGCTGAGAGTCTTACATGTTTTTCTGTTTGTCTCTGAAGGTGCCAGGAATTTGCATGTGAGTTGTTGTTTTTTGTTTTTTTTTAATGTGGATAATTTTTTAAATCTCTATTGCACAACATTGCTTCTATTCTATGCCATGGTCTTTTGGCCACAAGTCATGTAGGACCTTAGTGCCCCCTGACCAGGGATTGAACCTGCCACTCCCTGCTTGGAAGGTGAAATCCCAACCACTGGGCCACCAGAGGAATCCCTACATGTGTGATTTTAACTGTGCTTCTGTTCCTAACTTGCAGGAGGAGATTTCTAGACTGTTCACGCTTGTTATGATGGTGGTCATTTAAGATCCAAATGCTTGATTCTTTCCTTCTATAGAACTTGACTTTTCCAGTCTATGAAGGAGGCAAGAAAGGGAATACTGTCTTGTTCTGTTCCTATTAACAAGGTTTACAAGCCAAACCCAGGGGATTTACTTTGATGTTAGGAGAAAGTAAGTTTAGATCTCATCGCTTGTTAGAACTTCCTAAAGGTGTTTTTCCTTGTCTGAGGTTCAAGGTGTTCTGCCTGGCTGGCTTTCCAGTCCCTGGGAGGCTGTCTGCATCTGTCCGTCCACATGATCATTATCCACATCTCTGCTCTCCTTCTTGCGGCCCTTCCTCCAAGTCATTGGAAAGCAACTTTGGAATTTGCTTCTTCCATTTTTCAGGAGCTCCTTGGAGGAAGAGCACATGGTCATGGATCAGAATGCAGGCCTTGAAATCAGCTGCTTGGGTTGGAAACCTGGTTCTTCTCTTTACAGCATGTTTGTTGTAGGTCAGTCACTTATGGTCTCTGTCTTAGTTTTCCCGCTTGGAAATGAGGCTGCTGATAAGAACTCCTTCTGAGGGCTGATGCGTGAATTAGCTGAATTAGCCTGGGTGAAAGACTCAGGGCACTGCTTGCTCTTCCTGTTTCCTGAAATCCATTTTGAGACCAACTTGGACTCCATCTTTATTTTGGTGACTATCTCTNCTTCTTCCCCCCCCCCCCCTCCCCCACCCCCTTCTCCTCCCAATTCTAACTGGCTTATTGTTTCCAGTGAAGACTAGGCCTGCTGAGTCCCTGGTAGGAAGGATGCTGCATTTAAAACCTTTAAGTCCTCCAAGATGAGGCTATTTTTCTGATCAGCTTCATCCCCCACCCCTTATTTTTATGGAAAAAAAAAGGAAAGCTCTTTTCTGATGTAGTGAAACTAAAAGAGAGGGAGGGTAGGTGTGGGAGTGTGGGGGGCACCATTGTTGTTGTCTCAGAGGGTTTAGTACCAGGACTGGTAAATTCTCAAATTCGATGCTGTGTTATGACATAGATCAGCTGTTGTTTTGCCAGCCTCAGAGGAAACCTGGAGGAATCTCATTCCTTCAATTGTATTAAATTATTTGTCAACGTTGTCCTTTCCTTTCATCGAAGCATTTGGCCTGGGCTGCAGGAACAGCAAAAAAATGTCTTTGAAACCATTGTTTCTTTGGATGCTTGGTTTACCTTTGGGTTTCACAACAGAATAACCTAATAAATAAGGGTGAATAGAATTGTTACTATAGCAATCCCCATGGTAACATCCAGATGCCAGGCAACTCGCCCTTCCAGACCTCTGGAGGCATTCGCCTAGTGCGACCCATGTTTCAGGTACAGCTTCCCAGGCTTCAGCTCTGATGGCTGGAGATTTTAGAATATTAAATTAAGTCCATTTTATTTCCATCCTAGACAGGGAACAGACTCACGAAATACCAAGAATTCTTATCAACTTGTATCCTGTGCAGAAGTGAATTTTCTCTGAGCTTGACAGGATGTAGGAACTGCTTGCATTTCAGTTGCTTTTCCAGTTTTAGGTCTGCCCTTAAAAACAACAACAGTAATCCCAGTCAAGGCATGAATTGTTCTTTGTTGATTTCAATAGTCTTACATAACTTACATGGGGGCAGGATGAGGAGATGAAACAGCTTCAGAATGCAGCGTTGTGGGAACACACATGTTTTTAATCTCCTATTTTCCAGAAGATAGCCAGAAGGGATCCCCAAGAGGTCGCTTGGAGAAGCCTTTTGCCACCTGGTAGGGTTATAAATTGATTCGCTGATTAAGATGGCTGTTGTTAGGTTGAATGAATGACCGAGAGGTTATAGGAAAATTAAATGGGAGGCAAAACGGATTTTGAACATCATGTCATAACTTTATATAAGAGGTATTCATGCATACATGTAAATAGGTATACCACTGTGCATATTTAGCATAAATTTATAAACCAGCTGATGAATATCAAATAGTGGATCTGTGTATCCTGTTTCTTAGCTCATTGTGTCTTGAATATTAATACTGACATCCTAAAGGCAGAAACTGCAACTGGAAAGCAGTTGTGTTACATTCAGAACCAGTGGGGTTCTGATGTGGTGTAAGCTAGAGAACTCTGGTCAGACTACTTCCCAAGGAGAAAGCTTCAACAGACCAAGAGAAGAAGCAGAAGAATAAGAAAAAAGCCACCAACAGGCAGTTCATAAAAGAGAAATAAGACTATTAAGAAACACAAGAAACATGTCCAATCTCACTGCTAAGCAAGGAAGTACAAATAAAAATTAGCATACCAGAACGTGGAGTGGGGCTTCGACTTTTGCCATGGGATCAGCCCCAGGCCCCCAGCCAAAAACAATAGGTGTTAACAAGGGAAAGAGCAGCCGGACCCCAGCTCCACAGCAGCCTTATGTAAGCAGAGGGCAGGAAGGGGGCAGGAGGGAGCAGGAAGCAAAGCTGGGAGTGGTCATGCGGAGGTGGGGCAGCAGTGTTCCTCCTCAGAGGTTGCTCTATCTCTCCCTTGGGCAAGGAAGGAGCTTGCCCTATCTCCCACGATTCTGCTCATCCTGGATTGCAGAAGAACTTAACAGAGATTCACCCATACAACTTGTAGATGCTAACAGGTAGACAGACTGGGGTTTACTTCCCAGCCTTGAACTCTCTGCTTTAAGAGCAGACAGACTTTCTGATCTGCTTCTGTGTCTACAGGCAGTCGCAAGATGAGGTGACCGAAGCAGCCTGAACTGCCCCAACTGGTATCCCCAAGGATGCTCGAGTTTCTAGTGGGTGACTTGCACTGGAGACGGTAGCTAGTGTTGATTTGATCAAGAAGTTTGCCTAATGGGTGAGGTCATCCAGTGGCAGGAACTGAGAAGACAGAGCCGGCTCTCCCGCAGAATGAAGTGTGAGGAGGGGCTTCTGCAAAGGTCTTCCAGAGAATCTAACACATCCAGAAAGACTTGGGAGGAGCCAGCCACCCCTGGATGCCCACCACATAGAGATGTCACCGTCGAGCTAGAGAAATAGTTGTGTGCTAAGAAAGAATATTGCCACTGCCTCCATGTGAGTAAGAAGATACTGGTCCTTTCCCCTCGCACTCTTCTTCTCTAATAAAACATTTCATAGATGTAGCTAGGCGGACTCTCCATTGATATTCTTTACCTGGCGAGTTACCGTAAGTTTAAACGCCTGAGGGCACCGTGAAGAGAGACACACTTGCTGATGTGACAGTACACTGGTTTGTCTTTTCCTGGAGGGCATTTTGTCAATTACGCATTTAAAAAGCTTTAAAACTGGGCAGGCTGTGTGCCCTACTGATTCTACTTGTAGGAATTTACACTAAGGACATAATCAGAGATGTGCACAAATATACAAACAAAACATATTTACTGTGACATGATCTACAAAAATAAAAATGAGAAAAATTGGATTTCGAGTTGAAAATAGCTAACTAAATGATGGCACATCCATATAATAAAATATGTGCAACCATTAAAATGGGCCTTTAAGACCGCTTAATGGTATTGCAAGTGCTCATAATATAATGTTTAGTAAAAAAAAAAAAAACCAAATAGCATAACATCTGCCATTACATAAAACATAAGAGGGAAGAGCAAAAAAATATCTATAGTAGCGGAAGACATGAGTATATAACTGGAAAGTCCAAGAGACTTAACGGCAAAAGCGCCACAGGAAATAAGAGGATTCAGTAAAGAAGCAGATAGGGAAGAAATCAACATAGACAGTCTTCACACATGCAAACTAAAAGTAGTTAGAAGATACATGATAAATATATTTAAGATAGTAATAATGATCAACTTAGATACATTAAAAAAACAAAAATTGTGCAAAAACTACATAAAGAAAACTAAAAATACCTCTAAAGGATAAAGAGGAGATTTGAAGAAATGGAAAGACATATCAGTTTCTTGGATAGACAGGAGTCAATTCTCTCTTAGTTAACTTATAGATTTAATTGAAAATTAAACAATTAATGTAATTGTTAAAATATCATTTAGGAGGAAAAATAAACTGGAGTAGTCAGGACATCCTTGTTAAAGAAGAGAAATGAGAATAAAGTCTGGCTTGTCTAGATACAAAAATATGTTCTGAAGTCTCTATAATTAAAGATTTGTATAGGCACATGAATGGATCAATGACTAGAAAAATCCAGACATAGACCTAATTGCATATGGAAATTTAATACATAATAAAGATGGCATTTCAAATTGGTGGCAAAAGATGGACTTATAAATTATAAGTGGTGTTAGGATAAGTGGATAGCCATATGGAAAAAGATAAAATTGGATCCATTTCTCACATTGTACACCAGGATAAATTCCAAAGGCTCAGAGATCTAAATGTGAAATGAATGAAGCTATACATATTCGAAGAGAAGGGTATTTTCCTCCAATAACTGGGATGAAGGAAAGTGTCTCAACTATTTAACCAAGTCCAGAAACATTAAGTAAAAATCTAGCTAAATTTTATGGTATTAAAAAATAAAACCTTTTTCAAGTTAAAAAAAAACCTCTAAGCAATGTAAAAATAATGACACATGGGAAGAAATTTGCAACTTTTATCACAAAGGGTTAACATGTCAAATATATAAAGAGTGTCTAAAAATAGAGAAGAAAAAGCTTATAACTTGGTAGATAAATGGACTAGGGAAATGAACAGACTGTTCCCTAAAAAAAGAAAGGCAAATGGCTCTTAACCATATGAAAATATGTGCAGCTTTGCTCCTAATAAGAGAAATGCAAATGATAATGCCCTGAGATACCGTTTCTCCCATTTCAGCTTGGCAACGATCCAAAAGTTGCAGACACGCCTCTGGAAGTGGTCAGAAGCAAGCCACTGGGAATGGAGGGAGGCCGGGAGGGTGGATCTGGCTGGGCACGTGGAGCCCTTCTGTGCAGTGATGGGTCTCCTACGGCTCCTTGCTCTGGTTTTGTCTGAGGTGAAGTCACGGGCTGGCTGGAGACAGGGGCTGGCGGGGCTGGGAGTGAGTGAGCACAGGTATAGTGAACAGGACACAGATACAGGAGGCCATGTATTTAGAAATATAAGCACTAGGACTTCCCTTGTGATCCAGTGGTTAAGAATCTGCCTGCCAATCCAGGGGACACGGGTTTGATCCCTGGTCCTGGAAGATTCCACATGCCACAGAGCAGCTAAGCCTGCACACCACAGCTACTGAGCCTGTGCTCTAGAGCTATCCAGGGCAACTACTGAAGCCAGGAAGCCCCAGACAGCAGTGAAGACCTGGGCTCTGCTGTGCTAAGTCCCTCAGTCGTGTCTGACAGTTTTCAGCCCCATGGACTGTAGCCCTCCAGGCTCCTCTGTCCATGGGGATTCTTCAGGCAAGGATACTGGAATGGGTGGCCATGCCCTCCTCCAGAGGCTCTTCACAAGGGATCAAACCTAGGTCTCCCACACTGCAGACGGATTTTTTACCCTCTGAACCAGGAGAGAAGCCCAGGGATACTGGAGTGGGTAGTCTATCCCATCTTCAGGGGATTTTCCTGACCCAGGGATCGAACTGAGGTCTCCTGCATTGCAGGCAGATTCTTTACCACCTGAGCTACCAGGGAAGCCCATGAAGATCTAGACAGCCAAAAATAAATTAACTTTAAAAAGGCAATGTAAGCATTGGCTGTGCTTATATTAAAATAGACCTAATTCAGGAAATATTCATGGAGTGCCTTCCCTGTGCCAAGCACTGTTCTAGGCACCAAAGATACATCAGTGAGCAAAACAGCCCCAAATCTTCATTGTTAGGTTTCTTTATCACCTTTTTGTTATCGTTTTGCACTTGAAGCCTTGGATACATGCTAGAACTCAACTCTAATCACCCACAATGCTTACCTGAGAATTGCAGTCACCGCTTTGACAGCATAATTTCAAAACTGTAACAAAATGCCAAATTTGAGTTAAAATGCTGCAGGACTTAAAGATGGCCGGGTAGCAAATGGCTGACTTTTTTGGCTCCTCCCTTGTAGCTGAATTGTCACTAATCATTTGCCAGATTCATCTTATAAACTTGTCAGTTTTCATTTATGCAGGTGCAAAAACACATTCTTGTAAGCATGGGGTGATTTGCATTTTTTCTTTCTTTTTCAACATTGCCTACATTTGGAAATATGACAGACCTAGACAGCATATTAAAAAGAAGAGACATCACTTTGCTGACAAAGGTCCCTGTAGTCAAAGCTGTGGTTTTTCCAGTAGTCACCTGCAGACATAAGAGTTGGACCATAAAGAAGAATGAGTGCAGAAGAATTGATGCTTTCAAACTATGGTGTTGGAGAAGACTCTTAGAGTCCCTTGGACTGCAAGGAGATCCAACCAGTCCACCCTAAAGGAAATCAGTCCTGAATAGTCATTGGAAGGACTGATGCTGAAGCTGTAACTCCAACACTTTGGCCACCTGCTGCGAAGAGCTGACTCATTGGAAAAGACCCTGATGCTGGGAAAGATTGAGGGGAGGAGGAGAAGGGGATGACAGAGGCTAAGATGGCGCTAGGCGTGCATCCTCTCTCAGCATCCCACAGTAACCCCTCGCTGGGGCGTGTCTCCCACGGCCCTAGGGTGCTGGTAAACCCAGTGCTCCTTGGCGCCTCTGTCTCTGGCATCCCCTGAATTTCCTCCAGACCCAGTTGTTCCTACCTCTTTATCTCAAAATCCTCAAACTTATGTCTTCTTTTTCCCAACTTGCTGCTACTCAAAGGCTTAAGGAGGGTGGAATGGGGAGTATGAAATAGTGAGAGGGAAATTTTCACTTCTCCTACAGGAATGGGAGTAAGAATAGAGACATTTGGATGGACAACACTGGCTTCTTCTTCTCAAAGTTAGAGTAGGGAGAGGAAATGTTTATACTAATTACTTCTTGTGCGTCATAAATCATTCTACTATAAGTAATGTAATGTTAGGAATGGCTTATTTTGACTTGGTATAATGTTTCCATGTTTGAGCTTGTAGTTTTTTTAGTATTTATTTGTTTGGGTGTGCTGGGTCTTAGCTGCAGCCTGCAGGATCTTTAATCTTCATTTCAGCATGTGGGACCTTTTAGTTTCGGCACATGGAATCTAGTTCCCTGACCAGGGATCAAACCTAGATCCCTGCGTTGGGAGCCCAGAGACTTAGCTACTGGACCCCCAAGGAAGTTCTTTTAGATGGAAGTCCAAGTTATCAAAGGTCTTTTGTAAAAAGAGAAAAAGGTCTCCAGAGCCAAATAGAAGTAGATTAGAGGTAGACTCTAATTTGTTTATCTTTGATGCTATTTATGACTTTAGGATAATAATAAGCCAAGCTAACATGTGATCGATGCACTCAGCAAGGCCCCAATCCTCTACTGTAGATGTGAGCCCTTGGACAGGATGGTCTACATAGCACCTTCACAGTGTAAGTTTCTATGCTGTATACCAGAAAAGTGACACATTTATGGCACTCCCTATAAAATAGACAATTGGATATTCTATGAATAAGGAATAATTTCATAAACCATCTTCCCTAATTTATATTGGACCTCCCTGGTAGCTCAGACGGTAAAGCATCTGCCTACAATGTGGGAGAACTGGGTTCAATCCCTGGGTTTGGAAGATCTGGAGAAGAAAATGGCAACCCACTCCAGTATTCTTGCCTGGAAAATCCCATGGATGGAGGAACCTGTAGGTTACAGTCCATGGGGTCGCAAAGATTCAGACACGACTGAGCGACTTCACTTTCTAATTTATATCTTCTGTGAGTTTAAACTTCGTTATGTATCCTCTTCTTTAATATGGGACTCATCACAAACTGTTTTAAAATGATAGGCTATTCAAAGAATGTTTCTGAATCTGAGAGGAAATTAATAATAAAAATTACTCTGATTATTGAATCACCCATATGGTCTAAGTTTATGTTTCTAAATATTTTTACCTACACTGTGAGATGCGGCATCGTCATCTCAGACATGGGATTAATATCACTTCACAGAGTAGTTCTGATGATAAATCAGATATTATTCATGAAATTGTATGATGACTTATAAAGTAAAATGCAACAATGAAGAATGACTATGA